TTTGTTGTCATCACTGTCCGATTCTTGTGTAATGTCATAATGAGGCCTTTGTTTGTCATTCTTGATCCACGTGGGGCCTTTCCACCATAATTCACTGTCCAGCAAACGTTTCATCTTCATCCCCATTGTCATCAAATCCACAGGATTTTCATCACTTTTAACATAACCCCATTGACTCTCATTGGACTTGCTCTTAATTTCTTCTGCGCGGTTACGAACAAACAGATCTTTCGCCTTGTTAGACTTTATCCAGCATAATACAATTTGAGAGTCAGTCCGGAATTTCACATTCCTTAGTTTCCTGATGAAATTCTCAGTTATATGACTGGCCAATCTGACTGATATTGTGGCCGCCAACAACTCCAATCTTGCTAGTGTAATCTTTTTGATTGGAGCGACTCTACCCTTTGCAATGATTAAATTGGCTTCATTGCTTCCATCGGAGTATTCTGTTACAATGTATGCTGCTGCTCCATATGCCATTGGACTCGCATCGGAAAACACGTGTAGAGTCGATGCTTTCACTTCAGCTTGCCTGTTGTCATAGCATCTGTTAACGGTGAAGTCATCTAAGTGCTTAAGCTCCTCCGACCAGTCCTTCCAAGCTGATCTATGCTGGCTTGGTAACAGGTCATCCCATTTCAGTTTATCCATCCAAATATTTTGCAGCAATATTTTTGCTCTAACTGAAAAGGGTGTCAGAAAACCTAAAGGGTCATATAGCTTTGCCGTGTCCTGCAAAACCTGTCTTTTTGAGAGTTGTCTCATGTCCTTGTCATTTCGCCATGTAGTGTCGGGAAAGCTCAACACGTCGTCTACGAAATTCCATTTCAGTCCCAAAATCTTGATTTGTCCCTCTTTTCTTATTCCTCGATCCAGATCCTCTCCTTCTTCATCAAAGAGTTTTCTTAGCTCGGCGTCATTTGAAATCCACGTTCTTAAATTCATTCCCGCATTGCGAAAAATATCTTTTGCTTTTATGTATATCTTTGTCGATGTCGAGTATTCGTCGGCTCCTAGTAAAACGTCATCGACGTAGATTCCTTTCCGGAGCTGCGCCACAACTGCAGGATATTTTTCTTCGAATTTATCCAAATGTCGATGAATCGTGGCCGCTAGAAGGAAGCTACTTGGTGTAGTTCCGAAAGTAACCCTCGTCATCCTCCACGTTTTTATCTTCGGGGTTGGCATATCTTCGCTGGGTATTCTTTCCCACCACATAAATGGGAGTGCGTCTCGGTCATTTCCATGTATCTTGATCTGCAAGAATGCTTTTTCCACGTCGGCTGACATAGCGATCTTGTGATGTCGAAAGTTCATCAGCAAGCTTGTAATGTCGGGGTTTAGGTTTGGCCCCTTTTCCAAGTTGTCATTCAAAGATTCACCTGGATTCTGGCTTGACGATGCGTCAAAGACGATCCGTATTTTTGTCGTTGTTCGGTCCTTCCTAATTACTGCTTGATGCGGCATGTAGTATACAAATCTGTTCTGTGTATCGGATCCAGCATCTTTTTTGACGTTTTCTGCTATTTCTTGCTCGAAGTACTCTCGAATAGCTTTGTCGTAGGCTAGGAGCTCATTGTATCCTTGCATAATTTCTTGGTCACCTAGATAAGCCTCTTCTCTGCAATGGTGTTGTGTTGTTGTCCAATGTCACGTTTTCCTTCCATGGTTGCCGCACTTGGTATCTTCCTGCCTTGAACTCTATTGTTTGTCGGACGTAGTCTAGCACATGTTCATCGTTCATCTTTGTTGCTGGTTTCTCCTTGATGCCCATGTTTTCCAAGTCCCAGAATCTATGCAGTTCGTCCACAGTCGTGTCTGACTTGGCACTGACCTTGAGTACCATAACCGTCGATGATTTCATCGGCACACAATGAAGTCCTACAGGACCTTGGACTGTCCATCCCAATATTGTTTCTATTGCCATTACTTTTGGATGAATCTCGGAAATGCGACCAGTGACTACAGTCCTGTAATAATCTGCTCCAATTAATATAGAAGTTTCCATATTTTTTCTTTCTTTGTCCGTCTTCTCGTTGTCATCAGCCAAACAAATTCCCGTCGATTTTGCTCTTTAGTGTATTGTCAACGGTGGCGATGGTAGCACTTCACAGGATATAACTTCTATCTCCAGTGCCTCTATTGTGACTGGCTTCGATGTGGGATCCTTCCTCACGCTGACCTCGACGACTTTCATGTCTAGTTCCATCTCTCCTCCTCCAAATGATCCTACAGTAATCCTTTTGGACCTTTTTACCTTGCACGCTAGTTTTCTTGACAAGCTTTTGAGTATGAATGTCCTCTGACTCCCGTTGTCCAGCAGAATCCGTGCGTAGCACCCGCTGTCTTCTCCATCCGTTCACGAAAAGGCTGTCTGCAGTAGTATGCACTTGTGTTCATCAGACTGCTGTGCGTGCATGTTGCAGGACTTGCTGGTGTCTAACTGGTCAGGTTGCGCTCTTTTACGCACTTGCTCAACATCATTACCACTTCGCTGCTGTGCTGACTTTCCTGCAGGCGTACGTGGTTGACACATGGATGTCGCGTGCCTTCCCTTGCATGTTTTGCAGCGTACGTTAGCGCGGCATATCTTCGCCGTGTGGTGAGGTCTGGTGCATCTGAAGCACCTTCGTTCCCGTTGCAAGGCTTCTTTCTTCTGTTGCATAGTAATGTTTCTTCTGCAATCTTCCGTGTAGTGTCCAGTCATCTCACAGAAGATGCAGTTCTTAATGAAGGTGCTTTGAAGCGTAGATTTTCTAGTCCACCTCATACTGTGTGGTGACTGGGTCACTTCGTATTTTTCCTCTCGAGTTTCTTCTCTCCTTCGTATATATATGTTTAAAAACTCCATAATTTCTTTCAAACTGCTCGTGCTGTCTCTTGACGCTGAGTCCGATTCCGTAGTTGCTGGTATGTTGTCACCTTTCTTTAACTCCTTCATCTTCATCTTAATCCTCATATCCACCGGTAGCGCAGATTTTACAACAGGAGCTATCATTGTGGCATAACTATCCATTTCCACTCCCAACGACTGCAGTGCTCGTGTGTTCACTTGCAACTTTTGGAAGAGTTTCTTCAACCCATCTACATCTTTAGGACTCTTCACTGTTCCCAAATTTGCAAGCTCTTTTATGTAGGTCTCTTTTAAATTATCTTCTCGTCCGAAGGTTTGGTTCAAAAGAGCGACTGCATGCTCGTAATTCTGATCAGAAAACTGCAAACCTTCTATGAGGGACGCAGCCTCCCCGCTCAGAGACGCCAGAAGGTAATTAAAGTTTTCATTGTTCGGCACGTTCACTCTATTATGCACCGATGTCTCGAACTGATGCCAAAACCTTGGCCATGCTGTTTTTTTCATCAAACTTGATCATCTCAAGACGTGGCAACTTAACAAGCTCTTGCGTCTCCGAGATTTGGTTAGTACCTTGCACTGAGCTCGCCTGTTCTCTGACTATTCTCGTAGTCAGTTGCGTCGCTTGTTCTAACTCGCGTAATTGCTCCTCTATTTTTGTCGTTGCAGCGAAGATCTTCATCTCATAATGCAAAACTCTTTCAAATTCCGCCTCCGCGTCGTCTTCTTTAATGAACGGTTCAATCTGTTCGTTAAATTGTCTTAACATCTGTGACACGCTCTTCATCTGGTTCAGAAGCGTCATAAGTTGCGCTCGATCGGCGTCTTTTTCTGTCTTCTTATCGATTTCGCTCGTAAGCGTCGTCACATTTGCTCGAAGCGTCTTCCGCTTCTTCGATAGGACCTTTTTATTCATGCTTAAAACGTGTTGAAAGAGCTCTTGCCTGTTTATGTGCGTTGCCAACAGTCACCGGTCGTGGTCCTTCTCTCGACGGTTCGTCCTTGAGCCAGACGCCGCTGCTTCGTTCTTCAACCCGTTTTTGCGAATGGGGTTGAAGTCTCTGCATCTGCCCTCAGATATCCTGGACTCGGCACCATGTTTCAGAAGGACCAGAGAGACTGCAGAACGGAGACGTCTTCGGTTTATTGTTGACAGAACAGGAATAAAAAAAATATGCAGAGCGTGCCCCTGGCTACTTCTTCTTCCTCGCCTCCGAGCTCCATCTTCAATCTGTTTTCTACAATAGATAGATAGATAGATAGATAGATAGATAGATAGATAGATAGATAGATAGATAGATAGATAGATAGATAGATAGATAGATAGATAGATAGATAGATAGATAGATAGATAGATAGATAGATAGATAGATAGATAGATAGATAGATAGATAGATAGATAGATAGATAGATAGATAGATAGATAGATAGATAGATAGATAGATAGATAGATAGATAGATAGATAGATAGATAGATAGATAGATAGATAGATAGATAGATAGATAGATAGATAGATAGATAGATAGATAGATAGATAGATAGATAGACAGACATAAGGACAGATACGCTCAATGTCGCCGAAGTTTGCTAAGAAATGCTTCGCATTTAAAACAGCCGACAACGGCTACAGATTCAAAGCTCCACTTTCTTCCTTTTTTTTCCTCTATACAACCTATTGAGTTATACGCAATCGACGACAGAACCAAAGTGATGTTGGTGGTTGCGCGGCTTGTGCCTCTAAGGAAGTAGCAGTGAATTGAGCGAAATGTGAAGCACCATTCTATTCTTTACAGTGAATGGGGAATGGGAATAATAATTGTCCCCTACTCCGGAAAAGTGAGTGGCAAGTTTTGAGCGTAAATGTAGCACTTCTTCCGACTGATATGTGATTGTGTGAAAACAGAGTGAGTATTTCTGTTCCCCTTTGTAATTCTTATCGGTGATCTTTGATAATGTCGTAGTTGCATACATCGTGTCTGTTCCTTCATGCTAGTAAATGGCGCTGGTCTATTTTGTTGCCAGAAGCAGTTGTAGGTCACTTAAGCTGCTGTTACTCATATGCAATGAACGTCCCCTTGAGTGAATTCGGTTGGCTGTGTGAAAATCTGCGTGTCTGTGACGTCATCTGCTCTCGCTTATTTACAGGAGCGCTGCGGTCGAAGCGTGATGGGCCGCACATGCCACTCGCACGACGACTGCTTCTGTCCAGGACTGAAGTTCTTCTGCTCGGCAGGAAGGTGTCGCTCTCCAGCCTCCAGAAAAGGTGAGCGATCGTTTTCATTACAGGCGGCATTCATATCGGCCACATAGAACTTCTGGAAATTTCGGTCATTCCGATCTCAACGGAAGTTGTTGCAACGTGAAGTGACTATAGCCGTAAATCAGCACGACAACGACTCACGTCAAGCGACATACCTGTGCTATGAAGTTGTACACCCTAAAGCCATATGGCATACGAAGAGGCAGGTTTCTCTTCAATGTGGGCGAATGATTTATTGAACCCCTACGAAAATGTCATAATTCTGACATCGCTTTCGGGAAACAATGTACGTTTATTTGTAATCATGAAAGGCAGGTAATGAAGAGTACGACATGCTGTGCCGGGGGTGTGGTGACAAGCTGTAACTGTGTGCTTTAAACATGTTCATACCCATATAAGACGCTACAAACATTGACACAGACAGTAAAGGTACAATTATAACGCCCTCTATACGTATAACAAACAGTCTTTTAGTGAGCGATGCGAACTACTGTCGAACGATGGTAAGCTGTCCCTGAACATTGGAGAAATATGCAGCGCATGCTCTTGATCTGCACTTCGAAAAGGATGATTGTTTTATTTCGATAGCAAATATATGGACTGTCTTGGCTGGTCTTTGCCGTCGCCGCCACCGTCATTCACGTATATGTATATATAAGTATATATATGTATATACGCGGGAAAATGCGCTAGCCTCCTCCTTTTGTGGAGCGAACATCGCTTTTCCGGCTGGGGTCGTCTGCGCGCGCTTATCTCACGAGCGAACAAGGATCGTTGATGCGCTATCGTGGCAACAATAAGTGCGCGCGCTCTGTGCCCCCACAGCAGGTGGGAGCTTCCACAAGCTGCGCTCTCAACACGAAAAAACGTTACCAAAAGTGTACCTATAGCGGCCGTGTTCTCTCAAGGTGCGTGTACACTAGAAAGATACGGCACCAATTTTCGTCTGCCGATTCTTTTTGGGAGTGTGTTTTGTCTTGTCGTCGTGATATTTACACTACGACGCACAGTCCGCCTATGGTCACTGGAAGACTCCGTCTGAGCCTTGTTGTGCTCACAGCTATTTGTTAGCCAATTCTGTAGTCACACTGAAGGCACACGCAGCGACACCGACTAAACTTGCACACCTGCACCTCATTTTCAGCCATGCTTCCTGCTTTACCATTGTCCCTCTCCAGCCATGCAGCGCAGCCTCCGCTATAATTCATGGCGTCGAGGGAAGGGGGTATCACGTGATGACGTCACCGTATGACGTGTTCAGAGTGTCGTGTACTCCATAGAGTTTCCTAAGCATAAACTAGAGGGAACTCTGGCGCTAATGCCAATGGGAGCTGCAACGTATGGTGCTTCAGCGAGCATGGGAATTATGAACAGCAGCTGAGTTGGCGTAGCTTTCATATATTTTGCGTTCTGTTTGGCTTCACGGGGCTGGAAGCCGCGTTGTCACGAAACACGAATCGGCAAACGTTCGGCAGTTACGCTTCACCACTTTAATATTTTAGGCTCTCCAATTCAAATCAGTTCATTAAGTTTGAAACGGTTTGTTCTTTACTTCGAAACAAAACCGAAACACGGCAATAAACGAAGCAACAAGTGCGTTCGTCGTGCGAAAGCACGAGCACTAAAGAGAAGCTTAGGTACTACCCATAATTCTCATGGTCGCTGAACGATCTTAGCGCAAGAGTCCCATCTAGTCAGTTTTACAATTTCTATGGTGTACTCTACTATGAGAACGCGGTCAACGGTTTCTGATGTTATTCATCCCCACCAGAACCGCAATTTACGGCTTATTATTTTTTTTCGCGTTAAAAACTACGCGTGCAACATGACAGCGCGTACCCTACGAGAACTCCAAGCTGTTGATCCTCGACAAGTGGAAATTCTAGCTATCTTCCAGTTGCTTGTGTTTGCAAACACTTATTGCATCGTAAACGCATAACATCAATAACATTTAAACTCAACATTTTCTGGGTAGGTGTACGTTAACGAGGATGACCAAACAGGCTTTATTTGACTTGCATGGACCTAAAATATGAAATGACGTGGACCCGACACTCACAACTGATGTTTCTCACATACACACAATAGTCTGTTTAGAATAAATAGTTGACGATTCGCCGCACTGCATACTAGCGGATACAGCATTTTATGTACACACACTTTTTAGAAAAGGTTTATTTACAGTATATTTAAAAAAAAGCGAAAATTTCGTAACGCTTTGGTAATAAGGGGCGCATACAAATGGGTACATCTGTTTGTCACGACAAACATCACTATGTTGTAGTGCGCTCAGAAAAAGTGTTTAACAGAGTACTCATAACAATTACCTAACAGACGTTTAATTAGATAAACACTACGAACGGCAGCCCTTGGGCTGTGTTCAGAACAAATGCTAAACGATTCAGAGTGCAAGATATACTACATTGTTAGGGCATGCTGTTCGAGTTTCTAGATGCACGCGATACCCAGTAACGTTGTTACGCCTAATGTTTAGAAAAATAATGGTCAGCGATTTAGAGTACATGGTACTATTCTATGGGACAGCTGAAAGCCTTCTGTATTGTTATGCCTGAGAAGCCCAGACCAAACGTCATTGCCTCTGCAAAGGCAATCTGTGTCAAGGCCAGTGAGCGAGCCCACCTGATGCCTCCTCTCAACGACGTCACCTAGCCCAAGGGCGCCAGTGTGTCTTGCGCAACGCACGACTAGCTCTCTCCACGCACGGGTCCAGTTCCTACCAGATGATGCATCGTCGCCATCCAGTCTGGCGAGTCTTACACAATGCGTAGCGATCTCACTCGTACTTGGGTAGGCCATTCTAGCCACCCTACCATGGGTGCAACCCAGCGCAGTGACTCCGGATTGGAGGATTATGACGCCACCCAGCGGCGGGTACCGATTGGACTATTTTGACGTCGTACTTGATGAGGCCGAGTTTAAAAAATAAAATCGTAACTTGAACGTGAGTGGCTGTAATCAGAAAAAATCGTAAACGATGAAGAGTGCTGCGCACTCGAGTATAGAAGGGCCTGTTTAGAAAAAAAAAAGTTAAACGATTTCGAGTACTTCGTACTCAACTATGGAAGAGCACTGAGCCGTCTCGTGTGCAACTTGAAATGAAAGTGTGACAATTTCCAGGGAAGGTAAAAAAGCTTCTCCCAAAGACCCTGGAGTAGTAGTTTGGCAGTTTGTATAACAAACTACCACCCAAGTAAGTGCGCTGGTTGCCAACACCCGTCTCCATGTAAGTGCACAGTATAACAACAAAAGGCACGGAAGTTACTCACTCCCGATGTTGTACGTCCTAAGGACCAGCATTCAATTAATCAAGAATATGCGCCCTTGCTTAGGCCTCAGGGTTAGTTTTCGTGATACACAAAAGACGATTGTTGTCTATAGAACAAAATAAAGGGCCAACTGCGCGCTTGTGGCGCAGAGACTCAGAAACAATGGAGCTTACGGTTTCCCTCTCTTCCTGTTCCTCATCTACGCCTCACTCTTTCTCACCTTCATTGTCATTTGCCTCTCTCTTACTAAGCAATACCATATATGGCTATACTATGCTCCAACGTCACCCCTCTTTATTTCTCCTCCTCACCATCACAGCACTTCAAGCCCCTTTACCATGCCCTTGCCGTACTTTACTATACAAGTCTATGCTATGTTCTTCTGTATTACCGCCTCTTTTGCCCTCTCCTTACCTGCACATCACTTCTAACTGTCACTATCTATTCTACATCCTTGCTTAACTATGCCATACAAGGTTTTTATCTCAGTTCAGTTCAGTTTATTACCTTAAAGCCCCCCTTTCTAGGAGGGGCATTACATAAGGGGTGGAGTTTTATTTAGGTTAACAATAAGCAGTAAAAGTTGTTTAGCATTGAAGATAATCAATAATACGGTCTTTAAAGGCAGATGATAAGGGCGATGTTGGCGATGTCCCGGGGGAGGCCGTTCCAGTCCGTGGCTCCTCGAAAAAAGAACGATGCAGAAAAAGCAGTGGTGCGCGATGATGGGCGCGAAACCTGAAATGGATGACTGGTTTGATGAGATATGCGTGCTGCGGCTGCTATATAAGGTGGCTGATTGAGGGAAGAATGAAATAATTTGTGATAAAGCACGAGAGTTGCAGTGCGGTGGCGCAAAGAAAGGGGTGGCAGTCCGGATTTCGCTTTCAAAGATGAAATACTGATATCGTATGAGTAAGATGAGTGAATGAATCTGGCAGCACGGTTTTGTACTGCTTCTAATGCTTTGATTAAATACGCTTGATGTGGGCTCATATGGCAGATGCATATTCTAATTTCGGTCTGATTAAAGATTTGTACGCAAGTAATTTTACATGTAGGGTGGCTAGGTGGAGATGGCATTTGAGAAAACCAAGTGCTTTATTAGATGCTGAAACTACTTTAGCGATGTGGGTACGCCATGATAAATCATAAGACAAGGTTAATCCAAGATATTTATAAGATGGTACGGATTCAATTGCGGTGTTAACGATGCAATACTGGAAGCGATATGGGCTGTGGCGACGGGAAAAGGACACAAGTTTACATTTAGAAGGATTAAGCGTCATTAACCATGTGTTACACCAATTAAGCACGTTGTTAAGATTAGTTTGGAGGTACAGTTGATCATGCTGGTTACTGATAGTGTGATAAATGGCACAGTCGTCCGCGAACATGTGAATGCTGCAGGATACACGATCGGGCAAGTCGTTAATATATATTAGGAATAGAAGGGGACCAAGGACAGATCCTTGGGGAACGCCTGATGTAACTGGGAGAGACTTAGATAGGTGACCATTAACAAAGACTGACTGAGAACGGTTAGTGAGAAACTGTTCAATCCAATGAAGATTGTTAGGGTCTAGGTGCAGGTGTGAAAGTTTTAGCAAAAGGCGGCGGTGAGGAACTTTATCAAAAGCTGTCGCATAATCTAGAAAAATCACATCAGTCTGCATGTTACGGTCTAGGTTAGTGTGCAAGTCGTGAAGAAAGAGC